ATGCATCATGCGCTGGCCACGCCCACACACTCAGTTTAGCAAAGGGGGGAAAAGTCGCAATATGTCATGTGACGCTGCCATGATGACACAAGTTTGACACCCCTGGGCTAGACCATCCTGTGTGAATTGCACTGCAATTATTCTAATGCCGTCCCTCACATGTAAAAGTTACACTCTGTTTTAGTGTGGTAATAATTTTGACTTTTCACCATGAATTGACTTCTACTGGGATGCCCATCCTTTCAAGGCCAGGAATACTTGTGATAATAATTGCAAAACCACAAAGTGAAGGCCCAGTCACCCAGTAACGATCTTGTGTTAGGGTTAGGGATCTCTTCACACAACATGCCGAACTTAGGAAGCCACTAACCAGTCATAGCTTATTACCAATAACTTTGGTAGGACACAGTCACAGTAAGAGGGCTAGGTTTTCTGTGTAATAAGGAATGCAGAATCTTCATCTGTGTCCCCCATGCCTTGAGATCATGCCCCAATAGACAAATATTGATAATACTTCAGTCTGTTCCCTTCCCCACTGACTCGGTAAGAATAAAAAACATGTAGTTTAGACACTTGCAATCATTTGGGAAATGTATTTTCGTGCTTCATAGTGCCTTGATATTGACTTCTTTACTGGACAGAATTGCTTTTTCAGCTGTTCTGTTTCTCTTACTCTTCTTGAAGAACCTTCTGGGCATATTTGACTATTGGCTGAATGTACAACATAACTGACCAGTAAGATCATTCTCTTCCAAACTCAAGATAGTTAAAGGTAATTAACTCTGCCTAAGTTTTGGTGTTTTCAAACAACTTAATCCTGCCTTTGCCTAGTTAGATAGGTAAGCACTGACTCAGTTGACTGGTGTGTCATAAATTCTTACACAAGAAAAGTCTTGGCAAACATAGGAGTTCTTGATCACTTCTGAAGCAAGAATTAATCTAATTAGGAGTAGTGTTCTGATCTAGAATACACCATCTCTTCTGAGAAACTTTAGATTAATATTTTTTTCTCTGTGCTCTCAATGTAATGATAATAGTGTTGAATCTTGGAGTCTGAGTCTGTTTAAGATCACAATCCACAGTGTGGAGTTTGGAACAAGTAAATTTAGGTTTGATTCCCCAACATTTATTCTAGCTAGGACCCCATAAATCCCTTGCTCTTCTTCTGCTTCCTTGCTTGAAGATCCATCCAGGAAGTACATGCCATGGAACCTGGAGTATCCCGTTAATTCAGTGGTGTCAGTCTGAGAATCAGAACCAGTGGTATATTTTTTAAAAATGCAGATTTTTAAAAAGGTGAATTTAGGTTCTAATGATTAGGAACAATTAAAATACAGCTTTTCTCTGAGCTTGATTTTGGCTGAATATAAGGACACATGTTTCTTGCCAACAATGGCAATTGCACTTAGACTTATATACCACTTCACAATGCTTTATAGCCCTCTCTAAGCGGTTTACAGAGTCAGCATCTTGCCTCCAACAATCTGGGTCCTCATTTTACCAACCTTGAAAGGATGGAAGGCTGAGTCAACCTTAAACCTTGTGAGAATTGAACTGCCAAATTGCAGGCAGCCAGCAGGCAGCAGAAGTAGCCTGCAGTACTGCATTCTAACCACTGCGCCACCACGGGTCACTACAGAAACAGTTGGCATCTTCCAATTTTATTTCTCAGTCAAGGCTCCCATCCATGTATTAGCGAGATCTCATCCTGCTTCAAAATCAGCCATGGTTGACCATGTTTATCATCTAGTGCATGATTTTTAGAGATGATAAAATATTGACATTTATTCTAGTGCTTCCCAACATTAGAACACAGTTCACACATTTGTGCTAAAGGCAGCCTCACAAATTCAATGACCAAATAAGCATTGAATAAACATTGCATCTGAGGAAATATAAAAGATGTAGTGTGGTATATTTGATAGGCAACTGCTTATTCATACTTGCAAATCACTCCTTGATGGAGCAGTCATTGGAAGTTCATGATTTACTGATTTGATTGATTACATAATATCAACTCTGTGTCAATTATTAGTGACTACATAGAATAGACATTCTCCAGAATGGTCTATCTCCAATCTGGTTCTTCAGGTATCCCAATGATTCACCCAAGACTGCTCTAATTGACCCCATCGACTTTGCAGCTGTCATCCACTGTTCTTCTACTTTTCCCACTATTACAAGCTTCTCAGGAGACATGGATCTTCCCACAATAATAATTATGAGCCTAGTCATTTCTGCCTTTGGTGAGAACTCCAGACTGGTTTATTGTATGATCCATATGCTTATTTTCTTGGCTATCCATGACATTCTCAAGAAACGTCTCCAATACCAAAGTCTAATTTTTTTTAATCAATATTCTTTTAATCTTCCTCACAGTTAAATTTCTGCTTCCATAGAAAACATATTATCTGCATGAGTCTTCATAGGCTTAGACAAATGCCAGCACCTGAATATTTCCCGCCAAGGTCTTTATTGCTACTTAACCAAGTGCTAACCTATGGCATATAGGGACGTGGTGGTTCAGTGGCTAAGATGCTGAGCTTGTTGATCAGAAAGGTCAGCAGTTTGGAGGTTCGAATCCCTAGCACCGCATAACAGAGTGAGCTCCCGTTACTTGTCCCAGCTTCTGCCAACCTAGCAGTTTGAAAGCATGTAAAAATGAAAGTAGAAAAATAGGGATCACTTTGGTGGGAAGGTAACAGTGTTCCATGTGCCTTTGGCGTTTAATCATGCCCATGGAGACGTCTTTGGACAGCGCTGCCTCTTTGGCTTTGTAATTGAGATGAGCACTGCCTCCTAGAGCCAGAAATGACAAGCATGTATGTGTGATAATATTCCTTTACCTATGGCATATTTTCTGATAGTTGGTTCCAATTTTAAAAGACAGAAACTATCCAGAAGTTTAGTGTGGTATCTTCCTAATATCTGACTGTAGTCCCATTTTTTTTCGCCATGCTGCTTAATTTCCATTACTAGAGTTTCCAGATTAATTACATTTTTCAGTTATCATAGTAGCATAGCACAGGTTATTGATTCTTCTTCTTCCAGTCAAGTATCCCCCTATATTTATATTTTGCATTTGGGTTGAATGAATATGGAAAGAGCATATAGCCATATCTCACATCAGTTTCATCTGGACCATGGCTTTCCGATCAGTATAACGAGATATTCTGAGCTTCACATTTTCCTAAGGACATCCCACAACTAAACCTGCTTGACAGAATTGAGGGCATTTTAATATTCAATTAAGCAGCCTTGACTTCTTTTTAGTATTTTTAGCTCTTTCAATTATCCATAAAACATCAGCAGTAAAGACTCTCATGTTTCATCTTTTTCCAAAAGCATCGTGAACATGTCCATTTCCATGCAGAGATCTAATGTACACTGGACAATTCTATGTATTGCTTTGGTAGCATGTGAAATTAAGGATATTGTATGGTAGTTTGCATGTTCTGTTAAGTCTTTCTTTGGTACTGATGTATAGACTGAGCTTCTCATATCTATTGGCCATCATATCATTCTTCAGCTTGGCAGGCATAATTTGGACATAAATTTTATTGTTCATTTGCCATATTTCTTAAAATATTCCATCAATTCTTGTAGCCTTCCAACTTGGTAGTGGCTGAGTGTTGGAGCTAATTTCCTCTTCTAATACCAGGTGATTTTGTAAATAGGGACACTCTTCCAAAATATCTTGGATGAGGCGACATCTCTATGGTACAGGTAGTCCTCAACTTACAACCATTTGTTTAGTGACTGAAGTTACAATGGCACTGGATAAAGTGATTCATGACCATTTCTCACATTTATGGCTGTTGCAGCATCCCTGTGATCACGTGATCAATACTTGGATGCTTGGCAACTGGCATATATTTAGGATGGTTGCAGTGTCCTGAGGTCACGTGATCACCTTTTGCGACCTTCTGACAAGTAAAATCAAAGAAGAAACTAGATTCACTTAACTGTGTTACTATCTTAATTGCAGTGATTCATGTAATAACCATGGCAAGAAAGGTGTCATGTCCCTGTTAGAATCTAACTCCGAGGGAGAAGAGGAACAGCCAACAGGGAGTGGGAGTGTGGCTCCGGAGGTTGTGGAGGAAACTGGGGAAGGGCACAGGCCGGCTGGGTATTTAGAGGAAGACTCAGGCCCATCCCCTCTTCATCCTAGGGCATATAGAGAGGAGCGGATAAGGGAGAAACGTGAATGGTGTGGTCTACGGGGAGGAAAGGGCCTTGATCCCCTTCATGGGCTGCAGTTGTGAGGACTGTTTAAAAGGAAAAACTGTGCATGGGACAGTGCTGGAAGCAAAGCGTGAAATAATTCTAGTCTTCAAGTTCTTATCTGAGTTCTGGCATCCTTCCCAGTGTATGTATTTCAATATCTGTGGATGTCTTCAAGCCCTTATCCTGCCTTGTCTCATTAATTGCTTCAGTGTGGTTTGTGGTGTTTTTTCTATTTATAATTTATATGTATTTTGAGTTTGAACGGAAGTTCTTCCTTTTCGCAACTGTTTGTGGGGGAGTTTTTTTCTCCAGTCAATGATATTTGGACCTTTGAAGCTAAGTTGAAGGAATTAAAGGGATTTCACCTGTTTTTGTGACTTTGTTGCTTTTGTATCCCACCCTGGGTCATCACAAAAGGTCATAAATGGAGCAAAACTCACTTAACAACTGTCTTGGTTAGCAATGGAAATTTTGGACTCAATTGTTATCAAAAGTCAAGAACTATCTGTACAGAATTTCAGTATCCGCCTTCCCTCTTTTACATTTTTTTGAATCAATTAGTATCTGTTCATTGGCATTTTTAGCATGCTAGTTTGAGTTTGGAATTTTCTTCTAGGATTAGACAACTTTTAGAAGAGTTTCTTTTTCTGTATCTGTTTCCATCCTTGATGTTTTTACAGATATCATTGTACTGGTGCTTCTTGTTTTTTCTAATGGCTGTCAGAAACTCTATGTTAAATTCTTTCCTTGAATAAACAGAGATGTTAAGAAATATATTGACCAATCTTGTTCTTGATGGAGGACATGCCAGCTAGACCATCCTTTAAAGTTATTCACTATATTAATATTAGTTTATTAAAGTTTATTTATTAAATGTATTAAAGCCTAGGGAAATATGTCTGGTCTCAGCCGGTCTTTGAAAACTTGCAGTTCTGCACACAAACCACAAACCACCATGCAGAGCAGAAAGCAGGTTTCAAGGATTTTAATGTCAAACAACCAATTTTCCATCTAACAAGAATGGTATCTCAACCGCTCTGTGTTAGCACTGGAAGCTTCTGTCTTACAGTGTTATTTAAAGGTATAAACACACCCACCTAAACGCTTCTATCTCGTATCCACGCCCCTAATTATTCCCTTAATCACCCCTTATTCCCATCATCCCGTTTACCTAATAAGTCCACTATTTCCTTCCCTATCACCTATCCATCGCCCATGCTTCCTATCTCATTGCGAGTAAACTAAATAGTTAAACTTCCCCATCACCTCTTTCTTCAGCCCAGTTGATTCAACAGCTGCATTGGCTGTTATCTCTTTCAGTTCGGCTTTTGGCAGAATCATCTAATTAACGTCCAACAAGCCATCAAACACAGATAGGAGTTTTCCTTCAAGTTATGGATGACTGAGGATCCCTTCACACGTCATCATTCTCCGACGCTGCAGCTGGTGGGCTCAGATCATCTATCATCCCTAACGGAGCCCGACAGGCTGCCCCCTCTACCAGAGATCCACCTAGAAAAAGAACAAACAGATGAAACCCTATGCATTGTCTCCCCGCATTCCTTGGCAGAATACTTTAAGTGGAACTGTCGACATAGCCAAGGGCGTGCACCTCCAAGTAGACAACCCATGATGCCTCCAACAGGGGATACCCTTTCCTTTAAAAAAAAAAGCTTTATTGAAGTTTTATTACATTAAAAACATAAAAAATATATCAGTCAGATACCCTTTCCAACAAACCTAGTATTGCAAGGTTCCCCTATATCTTCGGGAATCAAGTATTTCACTAATCTCATATTGATCATCTTGAACAGGGCCTGAAGGATCAGGTTGGGTGTCAGGATTCGCCATGTCTGCTGGTTTAATGAGGCTAATATGGAAAACTGGGTGCACTTGTCTAAATCGTGATGGTAATTTCAATTGTATTGTGACAGGATTGATTATCTTAATCACTGGAAATGGACCAATATATTTAGGACCCAGTTTCTTAGATGGCAGCCCCAAATTTAGATATTTAGTGGAGAGATATACAAGGTCTCCTAATTTGAACATTTTATGGTCCGTTCGTTTCTTATCAGCCTTATCACCAAAACTGAGCAGTAAACTGCACTCCTCGATCCAAGATGATCCTTCTCGGTACCCCATGTAGTCTGTAGATATTTTTAATAAACATGGTAGCTAATTTTCGAGCAGAGGGTAGACCAGCACATAGGATAAAGTGCACCTGCTTTGAAAATAAATCTATGACTGTCCAGATCACTGTATATCCATGGCTATTAGGTAAGTCCACTATAAAGTCCATTGCAATGTCTTGCCATGGTTTAGTAGGATTTGATACTGTTTGTAATAATCCCATAGGCTTTCCAGGTAGAGACTTAGTGATAGCACAAACCATACATGTCTTTACATAAAGTTTAATATCTGATCTCATTGAAGGCCACCAAAATTGCCTTTTGGCAAGATGTAATGTTTTTAAGAATCACTAATGTCCAGCCTGCCTAAAATCATGGCAACGGTGTAAATTATATCTATAAAATGTTTCTAGGATAGATTTGGGGATGATTATATGAATTGTTATAAAATAAACTAAGTAAATTATAGTTATCTCGCAAAGTATCAATGAACAAAATTATAGTCAAATGACTGATTAATAGTGATACTAGGGTATTCAATTTCTGATTGATAATATGAGTGATTATGCAATGTAACTGCAATTGAGACTATGAAATCGATGCACAAAAAATTTGTAAACCAACCAACACACTGTTTGTACATTTATGAAAGAAAGTTGGATGTTTTTATGTTTTGTTTGTTTTTGTTTGTCTTTAAAAACCAATAAAAACTTGTTTTTTTTTTTTTTTAAAAAGTAAATTTCTGGTATATATAGTTTTGTTCCTCTCCATGCAATACCATTGCTGATATCACATTGCGTTTGGTTCTTTATTAACCATGGGTCTTCCTTTATCGTGTTCAGTAAATCTTGAGCCAATAATTTCACTCATAATGACTGTAGAGTCTCCCTCCCTTGTATAATCAGTTGCACTATTATCTCTCATCTACTGTTGTATTGTGGTAACCTTGACAGAGCGTCAGCTAAAAAATTCTTTCCCACTGATACGTACTTTAGGACAAAGTAAAACCGACGAAAATATAGGCCCCACCGGACCTGCTTAGGCGATAATCTTCGAGGTGATTGGAGTGCCTCCAGGTTCTTATGATCCATCCATACCTTGAACGGATGTTATGCTCCCTCAAGGAAATGCCTCCATGTCAACAAGGCCCATCGTACCACGAAGGCCTCCTTCTCCCAAACAGCCCAATTCTTCTCGGCTGGACTTAATTTCCTTGATGTATAAGCACATGGATGCAAACTACATTTGAATTCTTTTGTAAAAGAACAGTCCCACTGCCATGTCACTGGTGTCTGCTTGAATTAAAAATGGCAATTCCATATCTGGATGTTTCAATACAGGCTTTTGAGCAAATATCTGCTTAATGGAATCAAACGGCCATTGACATGTATCCAACCAGGAAATGGATTGCCCTGGACGGAGTTTCGTGGCCTGTCCTGATTTTGTTTTTAATAAATCAGTTAATGGCAGGGCAAGAGTAGCAAACAAGGATATAAACTGTCTGTAAAAGTTAACAAACCCCAGGAAGCTTTGTAGTTGTTTTCTCATATTAGGAGCTTGCCAGTCCAACACAGCTTGTACATTGCTGGGGTCCATTTCAATTCCTTCGCTTGATATACGATATCCAAAATAATCTAATTGAGAATGGTGAAATTCGCACTTTGATAGTTTAATGTACAGCTGTGCTGCCAATAATTTCGTAAGCACTTGTCTCACCAGCTGTACATGATGTTCAAATGTATCCATATATATCAATATATCATTAAGATATACCAATACACCTCTGTGCAAATGTTCATGCAACACCTCATTTATAAGCTGCATGAAGACAGCCGGAGCTCCCTGCAATCCGAAAGGCATGACCCGGAATTGATAACTGCCCTATGGGCAGTTGAAATTGTCTTCCACTCATCACCAGGATGTATGCGGACTCTATAATAGGCTTCATGTAGGTCCCACATTGTGAAGTATTTTCCTTTTGACACTGTAGCTAATAAATCTTTTATAAGTGGTAATGGTTATAGTGGCTCCTTACATACCGCATTCAAGCCTCTAAAGTCCACACATAATCTAAGCCCGCCATCTGTCTCCCTAAACAATACCAGAGCTGCGATATACGCACATCCCGGTTTAATAAAACCCCTTGCCAAATTTGTATCTATATATTTTTGCATTTCCTCCATTTCTTGAGGGGCTCGTCAAATACATACAAATACATAGGTAATTACCCCTGGTAATAATTCTACCATGCAATCAGTAGCCCTATGGGGCAATAACTGGTCACTTCCAGACTCACTAAAAATATCAGCTAAATCATTATACATAGGAGGGTATGTGAGGCTGGCTTTATTATTTTATTCAGGCACTAACCGGTAGGCTGCCGTGTTAGTCGCCTCATCTTTTGGGGGCTCAGGGCCTACTCCCAACTGCAATTTCCTAAACCCCCCTTCCCACTGGATAGTTGGACCACATTTATCCAACCACACTAACCCAAGGATGATGGCCTCTGTCATGTGTTCAACCACCACAAATGAAATATTTTCCCAGTGTTCTCCCATATCCATGCATACTAACTCAGTACGATGTGTAGCTGGCTTCCCCCCCAGGATAGAGCCATCCACCTGCTCAAATCGTATAGGAGTGGACAGAGATAATAACCTTAGCCCCAATTTCTGCACCACTGTACGTGTTATCAGACACTGTGCACACCCTGAATCAATCAAAGCACCAATGTTTACATGTTGTTGGGTTTGAATATTTGTGATAGCAATTGGGAGTATAAAAGGATGAATAGGCTTACTCACCATAGGATCGTCCATATTACTCGTCTTCAGCCTGCTGTACTTTCAACGTATCTTCAAAATGATGCCTTAGGGCCTCTAGGAAAACACCACATCAGCCAATGCTGGTGAGCGTTCCCTGTGAAGATCAGCTGCCCATTCCCCGGCTTCCCTCTCCAACACTCCTGTTATGGCCGCCACCATGGCCCAATGAGAGGGACAAAACCTGCCATATAAATCTAAATGGTTGGTAATTTGTCCCCAAAACACAGCCACCCGACCTGCGTTCCCATCGAAGGTAGCCTGCAATGGAGGAGGACCCCATCTACCCTGGGATGGCCCCCACGTTGAACCATGCATTCCCTGGGAACTGCTCCATGACCTACTGGGTTCCTGGCTCTCTTCTCCACGACTCCACTCTTGTGTATCTGATGTTCTCCTTCCAGGCAACCCCTTTTGACCAGGGGGTGCGGCTACAGTATCATAAAACCGTCGGGATTGTAACTCATAACATTCAAAGGGTTTGCTTACATCTGTCCCAACAGTCCCCACTGGGCTGGAAATACTTAATGGTTTACTTACAGACCCATAACTAGGTTTCCTAGCGGGACCCTCCTTTACATATGTACCAGGAGAATCTTGTAATGACACTTCCCCAAACTGTGTCCGTAATATATCCAGTTTAGTGCTACCAGGCACAGTCCAGCCAGTCTTCCAACCTGGGCCATATCCGCATCTTCCATTCTTCAGCTGGGATGTGGGAACTGTGCTGTGATCACCAGTCATCCATCTCCACCTGCTCCACTGGTTCACTCAAACAAATTGACTTTCAGGACTTTGGTCTCACAACTGGTGGTGGTACATTCACAGTCAATGCAGGTTTGACAAAAGCTCAGGTTCTGTTCCTTCAGCCATGTCTTCCTTTAGCCAGCAACCAAATAAACAGCCACTATTTCAAAGTAATGTAGAAGTAAAGGAGTGCTAACCTTCTCTCAGCCGGTCTTTGAAAACTTGCAGATTTGCACACAAACCACAAACCACCATGCAGGTTTCAAGGGTTTTAACAAAGCAGGTTTCAAGGGTTTTAACGTCAAACAACAAATTTTCCATCCAACAAGAATGGTATCCCAATCAGTCTAGGTTACCACTGGAAGCTTCTGCCTTAGTGTTATTTAAAAGTATAAACACACCCACCTAAATGCTTCTATCTCGTATCCACGCCCCTAATTATTCCCTTAATCACCCCTTATTCCCATCATCCGGTTTACCTAAGTCCACTATTTCCTTCCCTATCACCTATCCATCGCCCATGCTTCCTATCTCATTGCGAGTAAACTAAATAGTTAAACTTCCCCATCACCTCTTTCTTCAGCCCAGTTGATTCAACAGCTGCATTAGCTGTTATCTCTTTCAGTTCGACTTTTGGCAGAATCATCTAATTAACGTCCAACAATCCATCAAACACAGATAGGAGTTTTCCTTCAAGTTATGGACGATTGAGGATCCCTTCACACGTCATCATTCTCCGACGCTGCAGCTAACGGTCTCAGATCATCTATCATCCCTAACGGAGCCCGACACCTGGCCTGAAACAAAAGGCTTTCTTAACTCATAGGAAACATTTGAGGAACTTCATAAAAAGCAGAAATTCGGTATGATCAATGAAATTCCTTCAGACCAATTCAGCCATAATGTCCCAAAGGTGCTTTTTTTCCAAGAGGCAACTGGACTTTCTGGTTTTTCTTGAAGATGTTTTGCTTCTCATCCAGGAAGCTTCTTCAGCTCTGACTGGAGGTAGGACACATGGATGAGCATGCAAGAAGAGACAGAAAAGGAGAAAGGGAAAGAGGAAAGACAAAGAAAAAGAAGGGCAGTTGGTAAGAGAGCAAGGAAGGAATGATAAGGAAAGATGGGAAGGAAGAAGAAAAGAGAATGAAGGGGGAAGGAAGGAAGGAAGGAAGGAAGGAAGGAAGGAAGGAAGGAAGGAAGGAAGGAAGGAAGGGAGATAATAGTGAGACTGAGAGTGGGTCTCAGGGAAGTCCACCACAGCCCACAGGTGCTCCCGACATGAGTCCCATGTCACGCCCACCATGGCCAGCCCCCCCACCCACACCCCCCACACCCCACCCTTGCAAGGTCAAACACAACTCTGATGCAGCTCTCAATGAAATCGAGTTTGACACCCCTGACTTAGACTTATATACTGCCCCCAACAATCTGGGTCCTCATTTTAATGACTTCAGAAGGATGAAAGGATGAGTCAACCTGAGTCAACCTGGAGCCTGGTGAGAGTCAAACTGCCAAACTGCAGGCAGCTGGCAGGCACCAGAAGTAACCTGCAGTACTGCAGTCTAACCACTGCACCACCGTGGCTCATGTTGTATGGCAACTATATCATTCTACAGCAGAATTTCTCAATCTTGGCAACTTTAAAATATTTGGACATCAATTGCCAAACTCCCCAGCCACCGCAATGATGAAGAATTCTGAGAGTTGAAGACCAAACCTCTTAAAATTGCCAAGTTTGAAAAACACTGCAGATCCACTCAATGTGATACCCAGTATAAATCAAATAATACATTGCAAGGTGTTTAACCAATAACCTTTCAGAAAGTATTAAACTACAACTCCCAGCAACCTGAACCACCAACCATGACAGTTGAGGGTATTAGAAGTGGTTATTCAGCAACTTCTGAAAGGATGTTGGTCCTTTATTATGCAACGAAGGAAGGAAGGAAGGAAGGAAGGAAGGAAGGAAGGAAGGAAGGAAGGATTGTATAAACAAATTTAATGTTAAAAGGGGATTGTTTTTTAAAAAATGTGTTTATTATATTTTTAAAAGAAGTATGTAAACACATATAGTTCATCTTTCTCACAGCTAGAAAAGGTAGATGAAGCACCACTTTTTAAAATAAATCTTAAAAAGTAGATTGAAAATTATGCCATCATATTACTTCGATTGTCTGCCCCCTGCCTTCAAAGCCATGATAGCTGAGTAGGAACTATCCATAAACGGGAGCAGTCTATCTCTAGATACCAAATGCTGGTAATAGGCAGTTGGCATGAGGACTGATTGTTGGGGAACTTCCACAGATCTCCCAACCTCAGGGGTGGGATGCTGCCGGTTTAACAACTGGTTCGGTGAGCGCGCACTTCACGTGTGCACATGCACCTAAGGCACAGCGCTGAAAATTGCGCATTTAGACGCTCAGCTGCTTACCTTCCAAGTCAGCAACAGTAAGTAGAACAGCAAGGGGTGGAAATCAACTGTGCCGAGCGATTGAGATGAGCTACAAAGCAGGAAATAAAGGACAGGATAGGGCGCGGCCGGGTGGGTGGGGCAAACTGATTGTCAGAACTACTGGTTCACTGAATGGGTCCAAGCTGGCAGAATCCCACCACTGCGCAACCTGCTCTTTGCATGTTTGTTCTAAATTAGGTAGTAATTCTGTCAGTGTCAGCCTTCAAGATCTTTTCTACTGCTTTGCATCTTTTGGCTGCCATAAGTAACGGGGGGGGGGGGGGGTATGTCTGGGAAGAGAGCTGGAGGTGTTACATTCTTGTGTTGTATAAATGAGGAGTGGGGGTGGGGAGTATAAATTCCTGCTCTTAAGTTTCTATTCCTTGCTTAGCCTTCTTTTCTCTGCGCAACTGCAAGACTTTATCAAAATATGTCAAGGTCAACGGACAGAGGCCTCATCACCACCTGAAGATGCCCACATGACCATATCCAGAACTTTTAATTGGAAGAATCTTTTGAACTTTGGGGGGTGGGAACAATTCCATCCCTTTGTATATGTGATCTGCGCGCCAAATTCCTTAGATTCAGAATTCTACCTGAAGCTACCACTTCAAATTTCAGTAAAAGATTTCTTTCCTCTAATCTATTTCTTTCTTGGATTTTGAATGGAGCACAGACTGACAGTCAGATCTGGCTGTCCTCGTACTTTCTCAAATTATATTAATTGGCATTTCACAAGTTAAAATGAAAGTTAAACACCAGGCACTGGTTACAACAAACAGAAGAAAGTTATTGCCTATTTATGGACCTTCCAGAGACCTTTGGTTGGAAACCCTTATGAAGAATGTGCTGGATGGCATAGCCTTTTCTCTGATTTGGGAGATAAAACTTTCTTTTTGGTACAATGGTGTTTGCACTTGGCTTTGCAAACCAGCTTAACCTCTTAGACTCTGAAACATCATGAAAGTCACGGTGACCAAGGAATTCTGGGAGTTGAACTCCAAATCCCTTAAAGTTATGGCATGCCTTCCTTCCGGCATTCACTATCTACCCTTACCATAACTGGAATGTAGAGGGCCTCCTGCCTGAGATGGTGATTTTCTGCAAGCAAAGATTTTCTCCTTTACCAGGAGCTACCCTGCACAGTTCAGAGGCTTTTAAACTTGCCTAGAGATGAGAACTTCAGGCTGAGATCTGCAAAGCCTTCCAGATTTGGAACCGGAGCAAACCGTTTTCTTCGGATGGCATGGGCCAGTTTCAGTAGACCCTGACTGCCCACGATCCCCATGTAACCTAGCCAAGGTGGGTTATCCCTTGTAAGAATATTGCACAGAGTAGAAGTAAACCTTCGTATATGGCAGAAAAAAAAGAACGAGAAGATCTGATCAATCAGATGTCTCTCAGATTCAACACTCAGAACTTCATGAACGACGTACAGGCACTGTCCATGGAAAGCTTCTGCCAAGTGCAGGCCTCCGTTTCAGGAAGAAATCGTGGCATTCAGGCAAAAGTCACCCCTAGGCAGGACAAGGAATATAGGGCCTCCCTGTTCTCTGTAATAGCTTTGTCTCCTTCAAATGAGTTGGACCTTCTGCTCTGCAGAAGCTTCTTTAGAAGCAGTGTTGATCTCAGTTGGCGGTGAGTTGTCTTTTCCAGGGCTGTAGAAGCCGTTCAGTTGTCTGCGAACGGGGATACGCTTGCTCCGCAGACTGGCTCCTTTGGCGATGAGATGGGCATATCCTTCCTTGTGGGAAAAGGCATAGCTGGAACGCCGCAGGAGCGAATTTCTACTGTTGTGAGATGTCAGCTCCACCGTCGATTGCTTCTTCTGGATCTCCCGGACTTGAAACATCTGAAAAGAAAGGAAGAAGGAAGATGGATCGGCATATAACTTAGATCCTGATTCTACGATCATCCCTCTGGATGCCCTCAAATCTGGGCATCGAGAAAGTTTCTCACTCCATCAGGACACTTCCAAGTTGGAAAGGGTCCACTTACTAAGTGTTAATACCTCCTGGGAATGCAGAGTTTGCTGTGGCTAAAATAGCACATTCTCTCTACAACAACGTTACAAGCAGGTTTTAGAGGGAACCCAAAGATTTTTCCCTGCAAGTAAATTGTCCTTCGAATCCAGATCAACCTAGTGACCAGGGGCTCAAAAGAAATCAGACAGTAGCCATAATTACACGACCAAAGTTCTAACCTTTTGTGTATGTGTTACATGGTGTTAGGTGCAAACAACTAGAGCCACTCATAATTCACTAAAGCAACTCTTTTGCTTGCTACCAAAATTACAGGAATCTCCGGAGACTTCTCCTAGGAATGACCACATTAGGCTTCATGGATCTTGGTGAAGGTCAAACTTATGCCTTTTGCACAGTAGTGGGATTCAAATATTTTTACCACCGGTTTGGTGGGAGTGGCTTGGTGGGTGTGCTTTGCGCGCAGGCACACACTTTGTGTGCGTGCGCCAAACACGCACTTTGCACAGGTGCAGAGGCTTTCTAACTCATCTCCTGCAAGTCTGCACGATCCCGATCACTTCAGCAGCTGTCGCGCGGCACTCTTCTGTGCCGCGCAAAGCAGTTGCACTTCAAATTCAGAGGATAAAGGTGAGTATGGGAGCCCAGGTGGGTGGGTGGGCCTAACAGCAGAGCGGTGGAGAGAACCGGTTTGGTCTCTGCTGCTCATCGCTGCTACCGGCTCGGCAGAACCGAGACAAACTGGTAGAATACCACCACTGCTTTTGCAGCTATACAAGGACGCTAAGCTAAGTCCACGTTTGACCCACCCCTCCTTCCAGTCTAACTGACAGTTTCCCAAACTATGGATGTGGTTAGCACCTTGACCTTTTTGAGCCCCTCCCTGCAAACACACTTCCTGGTGACTTTCTGGACAGTGGTTAATTTCTCAGCAACAGTCTTAAAGTGGTTTTCCATTGCTGTCTTCCAAATGCTTTTTGTAAAGTTACTACTTTTCTGCCTTCTACTTTTCTGCCTTCTACTTTTCTGCCTTCTGCACAGAGGTAGGTTTGAAGCTGTACAGATGCAGATAGATAACTCAACAAGACGTCCATAACAAATTACATTTATTGGTTCATCAGGTATCCTCATAACTCACGTTTGTGATGAAGTTCTTCTTTAATGACCAATCCTTTGTCTATCTGCCTTGTAGTAAAAGATGATTATCTCCTAACCCATCTTGTAGCGATAGAAAGAAGCTGCCATGAGTTAGAGAGTTCAGACAAAGAATGAGGAAAACTCCCCCAACCCATTGAGGGTCAAACTAGTGACTAATCAGGATTACAGATGTAGGATACCTTTAACTACATTTACCATGATGCATTCCCTTAAGGGGACAGATCATAATTCCTAAGTAACTATCCAATTCCCATAGACTGGCTGGGACAGCACAACTACAGTTGATACATTTTTGTGTAAAGTTTATGTTTTACTTACAAAGAAATAAAGGAAGACTAGCATAGATCTATCTCAAGCTATTTAGCTCTCATCAGCTAGCCATACCCTTCTGAGATTCAAACCCAGCCTACTTGCATATTAGATAGATGTATTAACCTCTAAGCCACAGGCTCTCCTCACTTTATTGGCTATACCAAGGGAAAGATTAAGTGCTTTTTATCAGGGCAACCTGGTCTACCCAGTTATGGGATGGAGCATACTGCTTCCGCTTTCACCTTTCAGCTCCAATCCAGAAATCTTCACAGGCAGTCGCTTTCATGACAAACTATTTTTGTGTTAAATTTAGGTTTTACCAACAAAAAAAATAAAGGAAGACTAGACTTCTTTGTCGGTAAAACATAAATGTAACTCAAAAATAGTTTGTCGCGAAAGCAACTGCCTGTGCAGGCTCCTGGATTGGGGCCGAAAGGCGAAAGCGGAAACAGTATGCTTCTTCCCATAATTGGTAGATCAGGTTGCCCTGATAAGAAAACAACACAATTGAGAAATGCTGCACCAGAGGTGGTATTCAGCAGGTTCTGACCAGTTCTGGAGAACTGGTAGCGGAAATTTTGAGTAGTTTGGAGAACTGGCAAATCCCACCTCTGCCTGTCCCTGTCCCCATCTATTCTCTGCCTCCCATTGAGTCCCAGCTGGGTCTTCTTTGGTTGCCCTGCACAGGAGAACGGAGCTGGAAAGCAGGTTAGTGGGGTGGGGAGGGAATGGGGATTTTGCAGTATAACTTTCCCCCAGAAGTGGGGAGGAAATGGAGACTTTACAGTATCCTTCCCCTGCCACGCCCACCAAGCCACACCACACCCACAAAGCATGCCCACAGAACTGGTAGTAAAAAATTTTTGAATCCCAGCTACACCAAAGTGAAAAAGTTTCCAACATTTATCCAATTAGTCAACTTTTGCCCCAAATCCAGAGAAATCAAGGGTAGATTTGCACCGTGTCTCTAAAAGGTGACTGACATTAGCTTCTGAGCAAACATAATACACCATATCAAGAATCAAACCAGAATAGCTTCATGCAACACACTAATCATTTAAAAGCCTGTCTTTTTAGTCAGTCTGGTTCATCAAGCCAAAGCCACTCATCTGTCACTCTCCTTCCGCTATTCTTTGCAACTCGACCAATCAAATTCTCTTTTGATGCTTGCTGCCCTTGGAAAGCTGGACTCACCTCTGACATAGTCGGAGGCCAGATAGTATTGTACACAAAACGGACTGCAAGGGAGGGGATGATGTTCACCACAACACACAGCAACATGACAAGCACAGCCATTGGGTCAGTCAGAGCATTCCTGGTGGCCTCTGGAGGAGAAAGGAAGATGCTTTGAGTAGGACAATTCACACAACTTGATAAACCTTACACTTGAGTTTGCATAACAGTGTGCTGTGCATACAAATAAACAGTTAGCCCTCGACTTAGAAGCATAATTAGAATGCAGTGCTTCAGGCTACTTCTGCTGACTGCCGGCTGCCTGCAATTTGGCAGTTCAAATCCCACCAGGCTAAAGGTTGACTCAGCCTTCCATCCGTCTGAGGTGGGTAAAATGAGGACCCAGTTTGTTGCAGGAGATAGGCTGACTCTGCAAACTGCTTAGAGAAGGCTGTAAAGCACTGTGAAGCGGCATATAAGTCTAAGTGCTATTGCTATAATTGAGCCCAAAATTTCCATTGCCAAGCAAGACAATGCTTATTATCATTTTATGACCCTTCTTGCTACAGTTGTTTAATGAATCTACTGCAGTAGTTAAGTTAATAAAGCCATTGTTAAGTGGCTCCCTCATTGAGTTTGCTTGTCAGAAGGTCTGAAAAGGTAATCACATGACCCCCCGAGACACTGCAACCGTCACAAATACATGCCAGTTGTCAAGTGTCTGAATTCTGATGATGTGACCACGGGGATGCTGCAATGGTCATAAGTGTGAAAATCGGTCATAGGTCACTGTTTTTCAATGCTATTGGAACTTCAAATGGTCACAAAATGAATAGTTGTAAGTTGAGGACTACCTGCGTGCTGTTTTAAGAATCAACCTGATGACATTAAGACAGAGAATAGTTTAAACACACTGGACCACAAATGGTCCAATCTTTCTTTTGGCTTTTGGATGGACTAACCAAACCCCTCCTTAGGTTGCTCCCACCTCTTTTTAATATGATGTTGAATATTGTGGTTTTAAGACAGGAGATGCTGGGAGAAAACAAATAAGGGATCCAATTTACTCATTCTCTTTTTCTATAAACACTTTTATAAACGCAGCGCAAGAAATCATTGGTTGCTCTCTTTCTTCTTTGGAAGAGATTGCGAAGACCAGACTCCTCTCTAGAGCACTAAAAATCTCCACAGACTGTTCTCATCCTGATCATTCATATTTCGAACTGTTACCACCAGGGAGACGTTATAGGTGTCTTAAAATGAGAACTAATAGACTGAGAAACAGTTTCTTTTCCAAGGCAATAATTGTCTTGAATCAAACAGTGCATTTGTCATTTAGTCCTGTATATAGTGGCATTTTTAAACTAAATGTTTTAGATAGGTTTAAGACTACCGTATTTGCCGGCGTATAAGATGACTTTTTTGCTCTGAAAAACATGCCTCCAAGTGGGGGGGTCGTCTTATACGCCGGTATATCCACTGCCGGCTTTCGGATGCTTGTGGGATTCAGCGAAGGCGCCTCTGGCTTCCCGGATCCCCCGCGTCGCTTCCGCCAAGAGCCTCCCCGCGTCTCTGAATCAGGTTCGAATCCCGCTCGCCTCGCTCCGCCCGAGGCTGCAGCGACTGAGGGGAGCGAGAGCGTGGGTCGCTCCTGTCGCCCCAGGCAGGGCCATGTGAAGGCTGCCCACCTTCCTGCTCCTCCCACGGCCCCTGGCACTCCGCCCTGCCGCTGCAGCCCCGGGGATTTCTGGAGGGCGTTTCCGGTGACCCCGCTGGGATCGTTTGGCTGACCTAGCGGACGCGTTGCAAGAGGACTCTGTTGCGGGAAAGCCCAAGGGACTCCGCCGGGAAGGGCCAGGGTTCTGGAGTAACGCCTGCCTACTCCGAGACATGCTCCTTTAGACAGTCCATCTAAGAGAGTTCAAACATCCTTCACTCCCAACACAGAATAACATACACACTGTGTAAATATTGGATGATTAGTTACGGGGGGTGGGTCGTCTTATACACCGGGTCGTCTTATACACCAGCAAATACGTAGGTGGTTTTTTTTTATTATTATTATTATTATTATTATTATTATTATTATTATTATTATTATTATTATTATTATTA